CTTTCTTCTCCAAACTAATTAATGTAGATAAGAGGGCTGATCTATTATTGGCTAGTAAATAAATCAGATGCACTTTTAAAAGTTTTGTTTGGTTTTGGTTTTTGTTTTTGCCATAGGGTGCATGCCTTCACTGGAGAGAGACAGTCAGAGAGAAAATGAGAAATTAAACCCCAGGGGTATGGCCAAGCAACAATCCCTTCTCCTCCATTCTCCTCCTGAGATTTTGAGAACACACACATGTGCCCTGAATGATTTTCAAACCATCAGATTCAGGATTCGAATCATGGTCAGCCATGTGAGAGTCCATCACCTTAACCATTATACCACCTACTGGCCTTCAGATGTATTATTTTTAACATTTAAAATATTTGAAATGTGCTTATATTAAATCACCTTTTAAATATTATTTTTAAAAGATATTCTACACTTTAAATCTTGGAATGTTTTGACAGTATTTGTAATTTTTTTTTTTTTGAGAGATTTTTGCTATAGGGTGTGTACGATTGCCAGAAAGACAGAGAGAGAAAGAGAGATAGAAAGTGAAAAATCACCCCCCAGGGGGGATGGCCACACTGCAGGCCCTTCTCTTTCATTATCCTCTCGGGATCTTGGGCACACATGCACACGTGCCCGGTGTGAGTTTAAGCCACCGGGTCCGGGACTTGAGCTGCAGTCGGCTACATAGGAGTCCTGCGACATAGCCATTACACTAACTGCTGGTCCCAGACAGTATTTGTAATTTTAAAATGGTATAGCTTTCATAAATTATGGAGGCTATACCGTTTATTATACTAATAAAATTATACAGGATGCATGAACGAAGATAAGTATATAATATACATAGATTTTTTTTCTTTCTTTTTTTTTTTTGAGAGGTTTTTGCTATAGGGCGCGTGCGCTCGCCAGACAGGCAGAGAGAGGCAGAGAGACAGAAAGCGAGAAATCACCCCCCAGGGGGGAAGGCCACGCTGCAATCCTTCTCCTCCATTCTCCTCTCGGGATCTTGGGCACGCACACACACGTGCCCGGTGTGAGTTTAAGCCACTGGGTCCGGGACAAGAACCGTGGTCGATACGTGGGAGTCCAGCGACATAGCCATTACTCTAACTGCTGGTCCCTACATAGATTTTTTTTTTAAAGTGCTATAATCTCTCACATTGCAATGAAATCTTGCTTGAACATTTACTTTAGGTTTATATTGAAAATTCAGTAATTCTATCAGTACTTTTTCAAAAATTATTGGATTATTAAACTCAATAAACTATCCCAATAATCTGATTTTTCATTGCATGCTGTCTTTCCCTGTATAACAATAAAAAGATGCTATTGCCTTTAAGAATATATCTAGAATGAAATAACTGATCCTTAGAATTGTAGAACTTATCTGAACAACTACACTTACTTGTTTAGGGAAAAGGTAAAGACTTCTATGTTAGCAATGAAAAATCTGAATTTGTGTATAAATCCATAAGACAGTAAACCATTCATGTATGAAATTCTGTTGAGTGTGTTTGTTTCTCTCTTTTATGAAAAAAATTAAAAATTAAAAAAACTGAAAATAATCCTGAATATATTCCTCTGTTTCAAATATCTCTGATGACTTTGTTTTGTTTTAGGTAGAGGGAGAGAGTTTTGCTATGGGGTGTGTATATGCACCTGAGAGACAAAGAGAGACAGAGAGATAGAAAGCAAGAAATCACTCCCCTAGGGAGGATGGCTACACCACAGTGCCTTCTCTTCCATTCTCCTCTCAGGATCTTGGGCACGCACGCACATGTGCCTGGTGCAAGATTCAAGTCAACATATCCGGGACTCCATAGGAGTCCAGTGATGTAACCATTATGCAATCTGTTGGTCCCCCCAGAAGTAAACTTTTAAAAAATGTTTATAAAATGAACGATCACTATTATAAGCTGTATTGATCTTATTTTGTTCATTGATATATAAGGAAAAAAATGTATAGACATGTTTGCTGATACTAATGGGCAGAAATATTAAAAGAGAAAAGAGAAACTAAGTGATCCTTACTAATGTGATAAAAGTTTGCTTTCTTCAAAGAATGTGTACTCAGATCTGTGCAGATCTCAAACTGTCAGTATAGATATATATTAAATTATTTCTCATTTTTGGCAAATTATGAGGAAAACAGGCTTCAGAAGATCATCATCAAACTAAACATAATTTAATAATTCTAAATAAGCTAAATATTTTCTCATTTAAAATATAAAATCAATTCTTCTCCTGGACATTATTGCTATTTCATTTTCAGCAATGTCTCATCTCATTAAAAAAAAAAAGTGTCCTCATTCCTAGACTTGTTTATATTAGCACGAATGGCTTAGTAAGAGTTTGTGAATACATCAGCAAATAGCAAATGCTTGAGAGCCCACATGACAATTGTCAGTTACAAAGTGGAATACACTCCTTCTTGTCTCTCACTTGATGTTTGAAATCTTTCCATGCTGAACATCAGGCAGCCAGCAATGAGTTTATTCTGTTCCAAGTAGATAAAGCCCCAGGGGTGAATGAGTCAGATAAGGGCTGGCTCTGGTGAAGCTGAAGTTCAGCATGGAAAAGAAATCTGAAGCATGGTATTATGAACCAAAGTAACTAGAGGGCAAAAAACAAGAGGCAAAGCTGTTTATTATTTTTAAATCCACGATTAGAAAAATCTTAAGGAAATGTATTCAATTCTCATTGTTAAAAAGAAATGTTTAATTTAACTTTATTTATTTATTTAAATTTGACCAGAGAAGGAGAGAGAGAGAGGGAGAGAGAATGAGGGAAAGTGAGAAAGCAAACCACCAGGTTCATGACTGGAACCATGGTCGGCCATGTGGGAGTCCAACACTCTTAATCACTACACTACCTGCTGGCCCCTTATTCCCATTTGATTGTTGACAAATGATATGAATGTGTTTGGAGAACTCCACCCAAGAATAGTAAGTTGTGGTGCTTATACTATTTACAGAGAAGAAAACAAAAAACAAGAACAAACAAAAACAGAATATAAATATTCTTAAAATTCAAGATAGTTACATTAGATTTGTGTTTGGCTCAAACTACAAAGAACTGAAAGGAGTATCCTATTTGACCAGAGAAGGAGAGAGAGAGAGGGAGAGAGAATGAGGGAAAGTGAGAAAGCAAACCACCAGGTTCATGACTGGAACCATGGTCGGCCATGTGGGAGTCCAACACTCTTAATCACTACACTACCTGCTGGCCCCTTATTCCCATTTGATTGTTGACAAATGATATGAATGTGTTTGGAGAACTCCACCCAAGAATAGTAAGTTGTGGTGCTTATACTATTTACAGAGAAGAAAACAAAAAACAAGAACAAACAAAAACAGAATATAAATATTCTTAAAATTCAAGATAGTTACATTAGATTTATGTTTGGCTCAAACTACAAAGAACTGAAAGGAGTATCCTATTCTTATCATTTACAACAACGTGATAGGAAGTCAATGCTTTAGATATTTTTTTAAAGTCTTTTTACAAAAACTCTGCTTAAGTCCTAAAATGAAACTTAAAGTGGTGTTAGTATATTTACTGTTACTATAAATAGAGCTTGCTTAAGTTCTAAAATGAAACTTAAAGTGATGTTAGTATATTTACTGTTACTATAAATAGAGCACTTGATAAAATGAAATAAGCAGAGCCAATTAATAGTTAAACTGTTCAGGTCATCATTATCTTCTTCATAAAAATGAATACAGTACCTAAAAGAGAGGTAAGATGATTGGTGAATAAAAACAGGATGAAATATGTTTATTGAAAGGGAATTTTGTAAGGAAAATCACAGACAAAATTTGAGTTTTTTTTAAAGTCATGAGAAAAACATAGAGACATAATTTAACCAGAGAAATCTTCCATAGATACTATTTACAGATTCATTTCTCCTAGTAATAAGATTCCAAGTGTCGATGGAATCATAAAAATTTTAAATTGAAGTGTATAGGTACAAGTTCTTGAAGACAAATTTCCTGTCTAGCTCATAATTCTTTAGTTCAATATGAACATTTATTTTTACTATTATTAATAGCAAATGTAATTTCTATTTCCTCTGGGTTTCTTTTTTCAATTGTTCTAGCATGCCTAAAATATTGAATATAAAACTCTAAAACAACATACTCCCAAATGTGAAGTAAATTTAAAATTTTAAAAACTTATTTTTTGGAGGCCAGCAGGTGGCAGAGTGGTTAAGGCTCTGGACTTCCATGAGACTGACAGTAGTTCAAGTCCTGGACCTGGAAGCTTGAAAATCACATGGGATGCATGTTCATACATGCCCAAAATCCCATGAAGAAAATAGTGGACAAGGGATTGAGACGTGGCCATCTCACCTTGGAAAGTGATTTCTCACTTTCCTTCTTACTGTCTCTCTCTCTAATGAGCGCACATGCCCTAAAGCAAAAACCTTAAAGAAAAATAAAAAGTTACTTCTTGGGTTAGCCCTTAGCATGTTGGTTAAGGCAGCTGGATCTCACATGGCTAACTGAGTCACAGATTTAGAGGCTTAAAAAACTCTGGATGCGTGGACATGTGTTTCCTAAATCCCCAAAGAAGAAAAAATGATCACAGTGTGACAATGCTTTGGGGGGATGCCTTCTTACTTTCTTTTTCTCTTCTGTCTCTCCTTAGTGAACACTTGTACCTTCTGGCAAATTAAAAAAAAAAAAAAAAAGAAAAGAAAAAAAAGGTACTTCATAAATTTTGTAGACATTAATACATTTTGAGACAGTATACTCCATCTCAGCCCTTATTTAAAATTCAATCAAGGCTGGAAAGAGCTTATTTTTCTTCCTTTTCATGATGTATGTACAGAAAGATCTAAACAATGTGTGTGTGAAATAATTACACCAATTTTAGAGGTTCATGTATGGAGAATGTCTGTTATGCATAATCCCAATTATCTGTCATCTAATTTGATATAAATAATTATATGTAGTTAAAACCATATACAATTGACCTTTAAACAATTACATGGAAAGCCAGTTTCCATAGTGTAGTGGTTATCATGTTTGCCTAACACACGAAGGGTCCCTGGTTCGAAACCAGGCGGAAACAGTCTACACTTACATTTGGGACCAGCAGTTAGAGTAATGGCTATGTCACTGGACTCCTATGTAGTCAACCATGTTTCGAGTCCCAGACCTGATGGCTTAAACTGACGCCAGGCGCGTGTGTGTGCGTGCCCAAGATCCTGAGAGGAGAATGGAGAAGGGATTGCGGCATGGCAATCCCCCCGGGGGGTGATTTCTCACTTTCTGTCTCTCTGTCTCTCTCTGTCTTTCTGGCAAGTACATGTGCCCTATAGCAAAAACCTCTCAAAAAAAAGAAATTACATGGCTACACTTATACATGGATTTTTTTTTAATAAATACTATAAATATACGTTCTCTTATGCTTTTCTTATTATCATTTTCTGTTCTTTAGCTCACTTTGTTCTGGTAAGAACACCGTGTATAAACACAAATAACATGTAAAATATGTGTTAACCAACTGGTTATGGTAGTATCAAGGTTTCTGGTCCAGAGTAGGCTATTAGTATTTAAGGTTTGGGGGAGTGAAAAGTTATACATGAATTTTAAACTCTGCAGGGGTTGGTACCCCTAACCCTTGCATTGTTCAAGAGTCAACTGTGTACAGAAATAAATAAGATAACTTTTATTTGGCGAAGAACAGTGTCCTACCACATCCTGTTTAGCTGATAATAGGTCTCTGTGTGCTTTCTCCTTTATGCAAAAGAATGCCAAGTCACGGACTTATTGAACAATGTAATTTCTTTTTTTGAGAAGATTTTTTGCTATAGGGCTCATGTGCTTGCCAGAAAGACAGAGAGAGATAGAGAGACAGAAAGTGAAAATTTACCCCCCAGGAAATATGGCCACACAGCAATCCCTTCTCCTCTATTCTCCTCTCGGGATCTTGGGCAAGCACGCACACGTGCCCAGTGTGAGTTTAACCCACCAGGTCCAGGACTCAAACTGTGGTTGTCCACATGGGAGTGCAGCAACATAGCCATTACACCAACTGTGGTCCCAACAACGTAAATTTTAAAATGGATTTATTTCTTCTGTGAATAAGAGAGATAGAACATTTTTTTTACTATTATTAATAGCAAATATAATGTCAAACTGAAAGAGAGACAGGCTGACAATCCTCCAATAAGATCTTTACACCACAATCCACCAGCTTCAGCCAGACCCAGAACATGGCACACAGGAGCTTGGCATGTTTGGAGAAGTCTCCAGAACCTTTTCATGAAGGTCAGCATCAGAAAACTGTGTTAGCTCTTCACCAGCAGCCAGCTTTATAAATCAACTTTATAACCACAGATCGACTATTGATATCATTTGCTATCTCCTTCACTTACATTTATAAAGAATAAAACCTGGAGAAGCTAAATGTCTTTCTTTGCTAGCCTGTTAGTATTACCTATATTTTCATATTGCTAAGATCCATCAAATACTCACCATTCCATGAATGTCACCTATTTTTCAAGGTGTTACTTGCAGAAGCACTTCTTCTTTTATTTTCTCAAAGGTTTTTGCCATAGGGCAGGTGCATTCCCCCAAGAGAGATGGTGAAAGAGAAGGTGAGAAATTACCTCCCTGGAGTGGGGGGTAGTAGCCACATTTTAACTCCATCTCTTCTTTTATCCTTCCGGAATTTGGGGCATGCACCCACACACAGCTGTGATTTTCAAGTCACTAGGTCTGGGACTCAAACTATGGTCAGCCATATGGGAGTCCAACACCTGAACCACCACACCGCTTGCTGGCCCCATAGAGCAGCAGGTTTATTTATTTTTTTTTTTATAAGAGAGAGATTTTTGCTATAAGGGCACTTGTGCTCACTGAAGAAACAGAGACAGAAGTGAGAAGTCACGTGCCAGGGAGGATAGCCATGCCAAATCCCTTCTCCTCCAGTCTCCTCTCGGGATTTAGGGAATGCACACACATGCACCCGGCATGAGTTTCAGGCTGCCAGGTCTGAGACTCGAACCACCATCACCCCTTGGGAGGCCAGCAATGTAAACATTATGCCATCTGCTGGTCCCAGAGCACACTTCTTTAAAAAGGCTATATTGGAGCTAATGGGAAAGGGGCAAGTTAGTAGTAAAAGTTTTCAATTTTATACTGAGTATTTTGAAAGTAAAGAATAAAATTCTTCCTGTAAAAAAATATGAGTTAAAATTTTCTTGGCTGCTAGAGATACCTGATAGACTCCAAGTTCTGCTAATCAGCAACTGTCAACTGGGAAGGGAAAGTATTAGATTTTAATGTTAATTAAAAGTGGTCTGCATAGTTGAGAAACTGGAATGTTCTGTGCTTTGACACCATGACATGATTTTTATTTCATGATTTTGTTCAATATGAGGAAAAACTACTTACTCTCATTACTTTTCCTTCACTTATGATAGTGACTATGCAGCATGCAGATGGTTTCTTAAAAAAAAAAACATGGAAAATATGTACTATGAAAAATTATTTTAAAAAATTATAAAAATGTGTATTGTGCATGGGTTTTTAAAAACTTTTACAGCAATGTGAATTCACTGTTTAATTCCATTTTTCCCATGAACTTTTTGAAGTATGTGTGTGTGTAAAATGTTTCTTCCTCTGTAAATTTTCCTAAATATGCATTGGTCCAATTTCAGACTATGGATGATGTACTTTTGTTGGCCTGTCTTTTTGTCGGTTTGCTTTGGGGAAGGAGGAGAAGGAAAGCAAGGAATTATTCTCTAATTTACAACATGCATGTAATGTTTAAATTGCACATTTGTTTTACATTCTGGCATTGCACTGTATCTGATATGATAGAGAGCAATATTCTTCACTATTGCTGTTTATAAGGCTTTGATAATTTGGTAGGAGTGAGAGACAAGTAATCACAGAAATGGATGTGTCATTTCAAGCTGAGACAAGTACTCTCAAGAGAAATTTATTTATGTGAGAGTATGGGACGAACTGACCCAGCACTTGAACCTGAACTGCTTTGTAGTGAAGTACTGGCTGGAGCATGCCATCCCAGAAGTTCTCTTGTGTTAGTGACACTGGACCTAGCATAGTCCAACCTCTCAGCACAGAAAGCTTGCCTGTAGACAGAGTAGGTCAGTCAGTAGGCATTTTGCTCTTTAATTTCCAAGGCAGAAATTGTTACAGACTTACCAATAAACACTGAGGTTATGGAGTTTCCACCTAGCTAACTAGACTGGAAATAATACCTGAATCTGAGCAGTGATGATTGAAAACATTATTTCAAGATTTCAACAACATGATATGAAAATATCTGGAGTTTGTATTGGTGACTAGAAAAGTCATGCTAGGTGCCAGAAGGTGGTGTGATAGTTAAGGGTGTTGGACTAACACACGGCTGACTGCAGTTTGAGTCTCAGACCTGGTGGCTTGCCTTCTCACTTTCTCTCTCTCTTTCTCTTTCTCTCTCTCTCCATCTCTGGTCAAATAAAAATAAATAAATAAATAAATCTTAAAAAGTAAAAAACGTTATGCTAACATTTCAGGGGTTTGTTGTCTGCACCATTGAGAAGGATGCTGTCTGTCAATTAAAGGTGATTGGAAATGAATATGCAATTATTTTCCTTCATTCAAGCTCATGGACCCTGTGATTCTTTTTTATTATTTATTTATATTTTTGGTATAGAGTGCATGCACTCACCGGAGAGACAGAGAGATACAGAGAAACAAAAAGAGAAAAATCATTACTGAGGGGATGGCCACACCACAATCTTTTCTCCATTCTCCTCTTGGAATTTTGGGCATATGCACCCACATGTGCCCAGTGTGAGGGTCAAGCTGCCATTCTGGGACTTGAGCCACAGTCAACCACCTGGGAGTCTAGCCTTAATCACTGTGCCACCTGCAGGCCCTATGGTCTCATGATTTTACACATAGTTTTAGTTAAGGAATTCTGATGGAGAAAATTCAACATTCTCTCTTAGCTTTCCTAAATATAGAAATTCTACACTTTTCAATCAGTCTCTAGACTCTTTGACTTGTAGGTAGCACTACCATATTCTGAGAAGTTATTCAGGTTTCTCTTCATACTTGGGAAGTCAATATCAAATGTACATAAACTTTTTTTTTAATAGAAAAATGACAAAAGCCTAGTTTCTAAGATTTTTTAATTGTAGGAGGGCTTCCAGATTATAATTTATTAAAAAGGAGGTAAATCTATGGGAAAACTACCTGAAGTTTCAAGAACATTGCTAGTTCAGATTCTCTCTTCAGAGAATTAAGTTTCCTTCCTCAAGAAAATCATGTGACAACATGGAAACTTAAAACCTGAATGGATATTTTCATGATTAGAATAGCATATACTAATATCTACAAAGTACTGAGTGTTATGCTAGATATGTTAAGTATTTGAAATCACACAGAATTCTGGAAAGTCAGAGGAATGAACCCTAATTTACAGATGTAAAGACTGAGGTTTACATTTATCTGGGTATTTCGGTTCATAATGAGAGCATTTGGTAAAAGTCACACCTCTGGGCAGGTGATTGATTCTGATGAAGAAACAATAAAGCAAGGGCAACAGCACAAAACTTTTCGCCAAGGAAGTGTCCTGTGGAGGCAAAGGCTTTATAGAAGAAGAAACCTTTCCTACAGTAGACTACTGGAAATGACTGGAACTGTCCCGTTTCCACTTCAGGCCCCTCTAGTTGGCATCAAAGTTTCAAGAGAGTACTTGGAAGCTCCTCTCCTCCTTTGCTGATAATGTATTTAAGTTTAGGTGAAGGAATTTGTGGTAGAGATCCTTGCCTGACTGTTACTACCAGGGTTCATCTTTTAAATGTTGAGCAAGATGTAGCAAACCATTTTAGAGGCAGAAGGTTGGAACTGGCCTAGAATGGTTTGCTCCTGCCTCTTCATCCTCCGTCTCCTCTCATCAGATAGATGGCACCCGAGTTTTCATGGTGTGGTTGCACAAAAGCTTTTATGTATGAACAGTTCTTTTCTCCTACTATCCCAGTATTAAGAGATGTCTTTATTTTTCCTGGATTAACAACTAACTCTCAAATACATAATGTCAATCAAAAC